TATGGCGTATGCCAAGTCCAGTGCATATGTTTTCAAATATTTGACTAATGAATTGTTTACCGTTATCGCTAATGACTTTTATCGGTGCACCGTATTTTAAAATGTATCTGTGTAAGAATGCATCTGCGACTGTTTTGGCTGACGCGCGTTTAAGTGGAACAATTTCTGTCCATTTTGAAAAATGATCTACAATTACTAAAAGAAAACGATTTTTATTTAACTCACTCTGGGGGAAAGGACCAAGAAGATCTATGCCTAAAATTTCATTCGGAAATGTAGCGCGAATGCTATTTAAGTACCCGGCCGGGCTGTAATTAATATCATTTATTAACTGACATTGATTGCAGGACCTGACATACGCCAGTTACTATTTTGTATAATTGCGGGAAATATACCGCCTCGCGTACCCTTTTTAAAGTCTTTCTGACCCCTAAATGACCCGCTGTTTTTTTCGCGTCGTGTAATTCCTTCAAAATGCTTAATCGAAGCGAGGCTGGGATGACTGGTTTGTACTCAAGATTTTCGTTTGTTGTTTTCGTATAAAATAATAAATTATCTATTATTTCATAGTTTTCTGCTCTATTTCTTATCGCATCGATATCTGTGTGCTCAAAGCTTTCGGGGTCTTTCAAATAAGCATAGATACTTCCAAATTCAGGATCAGCTTTCAATTCAGCAATAATTGTATCTCTAGAATCTAAAATTTTTGAAGTCAACACAGCGCATTTAAGTTCATTCCTTCATCGTCCAGTTTTATACGAGAAAGTGCGTCAGCTACATTGTTTTCCTTACCCGGTTTATATTTATTATTAGATATATATTCTTGGAGTTTTAAAGCCCATCTTATTAACCTGGGCGTTAGGTTTTTCCCCGAGTAAAGTCTACCAACAGCCGCATGATCCGAAAAGACTGTTACTGGCGCTTTGCCGAAATAAACTCGAAATTTGTGTACAGCCATTAATACGGCTAATGTTTCTCTCTCTGTAGCTGTATAATTCCTTTGTGTATGATTCAACGTTTTACTAAAAAATGCCAAAGGATGGCCATTTTGCATAAGAACCGCACCCACCGCATAGTCCGACGCATCTGCTGCAATTTCCAGGTTTTCGTCCCCCTCCGGGAATTTCAAAACAGGGGCATTGATAAGCGCTTCTTTTTAATCTTTCAAATGCGGTATTTGCTTCCTGCTGTCCACGTAAATTTACTTTTCTTTCTTTTAATTACTAACAAGGGTTCAACAATATTAGCGAAATCTTTTATGAATGACCGATAATAAGAACATAACCCAAGGAAAGAAGAAAGTTTCTTGGCGGTGTTGGGAGGTGGGAAATTCTTGATAGCTTTTATTTTTGAATCTTGAGTTTCTATACCCTTTTGCGAAATTTTATAACCCAGATATTTAAGTTCTTTAGTTGCGAACTTGCATTTTGAGGCGTTAATTGTAAGACCGGCCTCTTTTAATAATTTAAAAACTTCTTCTCGAGATCTTTAATATGTTGTTCCAACGTACTACTCGTTATAATTATATCATCTAGATAGATTAAAGTCGATTTTCCTAGGACAGGCTTTAGAACAATGTCCATAGCTCTCTGGAATGTTGATGGGGCCCCACACAACCCAAAGGGCATGCGTAAAAATGCATAAGTGCCCGATTTTGTTATAAACGCGGTTTTATGTATGTCTTCGGGTCTCATAGCTATTTGATAGTAGCCAGACGTTAAGTCCAAAGTAGTCATGTATCTTGTAGATTTAATCTTTCTAATAATTTCCTCTATAACCGGCAAAGGGTAAACTGGGAATTTAGTAATACTATTTAGTTTTCTGTAATCGATAGCAAACCTCCAAGCCCTTTTATCCGAAGGAGGAAACTCGTTCTTTTTCCTACATAGTACGACTGGACTCGCGTACTCACTATTTATGGGCGTTATTATTTTGTTCTTTAACATTTCCTGAATATGTTCTTCGATGATTAGCTCTTTTGTTTATCATAGCGGATAAGGTTTAGTCCTACAAGGGTTTGTCGGCAGTTAACTGTATCTCATGCGTAACTATTTGACAGTTTACCAGGCCGTTTTTCTGAAAACAAGTTTGAAAAAGTTACTCACCACTTGCTGGATGGCTTGACTTTCATGGTCATTCAAATGGCTAAGGTCAACTTGCGGTTGTTCCACTGGTTCCACCACCCTCCGGTCCATCTCCAGCACAATAGAACTTTCCTTGAAAATTCAGTTTGGCCTTCGCGGCCCTTAAAAACTCCATACCTAAAATAAGTGGATTTTGCAAATTTTTTTACTACAAAAATTAATACTACTTTAAGGCTTTCGTCTTTTGAACCTGTATTTTAAAAGATAGTTTTCCCGATGCAGTGACAAGTTTTTCCTTGCGCCGCTATAATTTCTGTGTTTTTATTTTAAATAATCGTAACCTATTAAAATTCTTTTAAAAAAATTATCACTCATAAAATTACCTTCTGCTCCTGTATCGATGAGGGCTTCTACTGGTACATCGCCAACCAGGACTTGTATAATTGGTAACTGTGAGTTTTTTACGATGACCGTATTTAAGTGTCTTTTTGAGGGTTTTTTTCAAAACTTCCGGGGTCTGGACCCTCGCTTTCACAGGCCCCTCTACTCGTTTAAAGCTTTCCTTTCAACTTCTGCCTTCTGGGTACGCGGACGTTTGTTTTCAAATTTTCTTTTTGGGCCTTGACCTTCGAGGTTCGATGAGTTAGCTTGATAGCTCTTTCCCCCATAAGAGCGGTTTGCATTTCTGGTCTGCTCATTTGAAGATTGCCTTCGGATACTTTGAGAATACGATGCCCCTCTAGCTTTTTCCGCTATTCTGCGATTTTGAAACTTGACCGCCAATTCGAAGAGCTCCTGCAATGTGCTTGGGTTTTCTAATTTCGAAGTAGTCTTGAACAGCAGGTAACAATCTTGGTAAGATTATTTCAATAATCTCTCGCGTCGGGTTTCTTTTTCTTCCCATACAGCATATCCGTCAGCTTAATTTTTCGCAGAATAAAGTCCGTCAACTCTTCTATATTCCGTTGATAAAAACTATATAGTTCGGCTTCTAGCCTTGCTCGATCTTTCACTATGGGGAAGGCCTTTAATAACGATTTTTTGAAATTTTCAAATGTATATGTCTGGCCTCCGAATTCCCCTAATAAAAATTTGCCTATATTCTTCCACCATAGCGCGGCGCGGCCTGTCCTCTTAGTGCAGATGTGGCGATGGCAACTTTTTGTCTTTCACAGGTAGAGCTGAAAGTTTTTCTAGGCCTTCTAGAAATATCGCCACCGAATTTTTTCCGTCGAAATTGACGTTTGGCTTGATTGACGCTCTCAATCGTCTGGACCAGGTATCCAAATCCTTCCAATTGGCTTGCCATTTCTTGTGTTGTCCAGCGGCTTCCATCCAATTTTCGGCCATTTCAGTTCGACAAGTGTTCGGGCGCCAATAATGTTGCGCGCTTCCAACCTGCACGCAACAATAGTGGTGACTGCTGAAAACTGGAAAGTAGACAAAGTCTTGAGAAGGGTTTAAGTCCCTTTTTATTCAACTTTAGAAATTACAAATGCGTGCTCTTGACGCGACAAACTCACAAACTACGCCGACCCGGCGGTAAAATAAAAATAAGAAAAACTGAAAAGAATAATAACAAGTGACTAACTACGAGGCTCTCTAAACGTAACTAACCTCACCGCGTTTTAAGATACCGCTGATAATTCAGCACCTTCTGAATATTACGTTGAAAGATTAACAAACTGCCGAGGCAAGCACACAGGCCGAAACGCGTGGTTCTTCAATTTCTAACTAGCCACCTCCACGCTCGTGAAGCAAGAAAGCACACCTTCGAACTCGTTTCCCTTCTATTTAACTCAGATTACTTCCGCTGACAATTTGAATCCTTGCGCGTTCTACTAAAATTTACATACTCTGGCATTGGCAATTCCAGGGGAAAGTAAGGCTTGACAGGAAAGATAGTTTAAACTTAAAATAAATGTTAGTTAAAATAAATATAAACCCTACAAGGTGATAAAGGTTGGATGAATTGTATTTTGCATGTAAAAGCTGACAGATCACTGCGCTTGCATTTTCTAGTAGGACTGACATGGCCATCTACTGAGATAGTTTTCGCAGATTCTTCCGGGGTTTTGATTGTTTCCTCCCTCTTTTGCCTTTTCTTCTGTTACAAACACCGCTAGTATTTTCGAATTTCAGAACTAGTATTAACGCTGTATTTTTGCATAGTCCATTCTGCACATTAACTGAATGCGACCAACTTAGTCTGAACAACAGATGCTCTTCTGCTGTAATAACATTTCACAACGAAGGCCCTCTGATTTGTACTGTATCTTGAACTATTTGTATTTTGTTAGGGAATCACAGTTCACATTCTACAGAGCTGAAATGTGAGAAAGCATCAGTTCAGTATTGCTTTGGTCAAATGCTGCGTCTATTTTTTTTCTTTCAATTAGTTCCTTAAATTACAAACAAATATTAGGAAAATTTTGCTTTCTATTACCGTTGAAAAATATAAACCTAACCAAAGAGATTACGATTCTGATTACCTTCATCAACCTTCTTCATTTTAAAATTACTAATAAAACTCGTTAATATTGCAGATTCTAATTTTTATGAGAGAAACATTCCATGCATTAAAAATACCCCGGTACTTACTGATATTCAAACCCAATCATAGTCCCTTCGAATATCATGCTACTTCATCTCTGATACGTGGTTATTGGTGAGACATTACTGATTAGAATTAAGGCAATGGGTCGAGTGGAATGCTAGAATCTTTTTCATTTCCGTCAGATATATTAAATTTCGTGGAGACAGTTGTTGACAAGCCAGATTTTTCATTGCGAAATTTAACTAATAGTACAAACTGCTTAATTTGATTCATAACTGATTAAATATCATAACAATTTGAAGTGCAGAACTGTTATTATTTATTAATGATTCACAAGTCACTATGTGCCATTTTTGCAGCTATGAAGAGCTTAAGGAAACTGAATTTAAATAGTACTAGTCTCACACCCGAGACTTTCGAAGGGCTAAAGGTAAGCAATAAATTTATGTTTAAATAGTTACTGAATAATAAACCATGATGAAAGTAGTAGTTGTTTATGCAATTTTATTCTCAAGAGCTTGAAAAATAATCTTCCGTTTAAATTATTTTTCAGAAAATATATTTAAAATAAAGTGTTGTTGAGACATTAGGATTTTTTTTGGGAAGCAGGAGACTTGAAAAATGAGCAACGCCTTCGCCGGGAACCGAACCACGGACCTCTGGAATATGCGCCCAGCGTGCAGACCACTACACCACGAAGGCACGCTAAGAAGGCGGGAGAAATACCTTATAGTGTTTGACATAAATTGAAAAGCAATGAATTAGTTTATATTGCATCTAATGAAATCTTATAATTACGTAATTCGTTAAAAGAAAAGTCCTATAATTTTATATCACGTAACTTAAGTAATATTTTAATTAAGCATATTGAAATTAAAAATAATTTACATTCAGAATGGAATATTAGAAATAACTTTTAAAGGGACTACATGCGATAAGAATCAGCCTATATTACATAAATTTGCAGGACTAGTTTCGAAGTTTAAATAAAAGCTTCTTCAGCTGTAATTGTGACGAAAAAGTAGCATGTGTCCACCCAACACCATTAAATAGAAAACTCGAGAAAGTTCCAACTAAAGAAAGAAACAAAGCCATTGGTACCATATATTGGCAATAATAATTATAAAAATCTGAAAGGTTTCAGATTTTAAATTACATCCTAAAGGGGCCTTTTTTTTTGCCGTTGTTTTATCACAATGCTAGACACATACGTACATTTATGCAGATTCTTCATTATTTAATTTCTTTAAATATAACAAAGAGCGATAGTATTTGGTAGCAACGATTTGAAAAGGATACAGCCTTTGAAAGTTTTCAACGCAAAATCGCAAAACGAAAACGATAATTCTTCAGGGACAAATCCCCTTTGGACTGATAATAATAATAATTTGTTTAAAAGCTAAATATAAAGACGGAAGAGAAATGGGATCATCAAATAGAATTGAAAGAGTTTTATGAACGTGAAAAATCTGTAGAATGTTCTAATTAATGATCCCATTTTTAATCCGTCTATACAACCTGAAGCTGAAGAAGAAGGTCCTATTTAACCTTTGAAAATAGTCCTGTTGATACATGCAACTTACACTGATTATTGAAAGGCTTTAAAATGTTCTATTCAGTTGTCCCTGTGAATGCATTCTAGTAGATCAATATATGCTTCAGTCCTTGAAGAAAATTCATCTTGTAAGTCATAAAATACCAACTGAAAATAAATCTTTTTACGCAGATTAACTATGTGAAATCTGCTCACTGATGCTGTCTTTGGAATACAAGTTTGTATGCTCAGCACGAAGACACATGCGTAAATTTTCGTTGATGATTTAATTCAGCAGCATTCACCTTGTCCTTGTCGAATATAGTTTTTTGCTTTTTACTATCTTAGGCAAAACTAGTACATTTAAAATTTTTTATTAGCTTTGTTGCTGCTTCCTTAAATTTCTTTTTAGATTCCTTTCTGATTTCACTGCCTTTTGTTTTCTGGATTCGCCAGAAAACTAGAGATAGATTTTTCCATAAATTCACCTTAAATATGTGGAATTGCAGGAGGAAGAAAAAGCGTTTTTATCCCACCAGGTGTTATAGACACAAAATTGTACTTAGGTGGCTTTGCAGTAAGTTATAGACGAAAAATTCTGTCAGCTTCTGATGGATTTGATTCCGTTTCAAATGATTCTTTTCTACTCCACATTTTCTTTGGAGAATTCATCGGGAGCGTACTATTTTTTACATTCGTTCCGCAACTTTCTGTTACTCTAAATTGGTAAGGACTAAACAATTTAAAAAAAAAATTAAAGCAGCACCGTCTTGTCATTAACCTTATATGAAACATTTATTACTTTTAAAATAGTTTCATAAAGAACGATTTTGACAACAAAGCTTTCAGTTCGAAGTTTAATCAGTCTCTATACAATATGAAAATAAGTGCTTAATTTTACTCACTATTTAAATTAAGATTACATAGTCTCAGGGCTTAATTTTTAAAATCAGAAATGCTGGATCCATTTGGAAGACCACCAAGAACAACAAATAATTATGAACTACTATGAAGGTTGCAATACTACGTAAACGGGTGGATTGCAAGAAGTTTCAGAACAAGAAAATATAGAGCAAAAGCACAGCAGTATAAACCCTCTCTAAGACTACCAGACATGTTCCAGATGATTTCAGCGTTCTATGAAAGTTGCTGAGTTGGAGAGGTGATGTTAAATAGCAATGTTTATTTAAAATCTCAGAAATACGGATCACTTTCAGAACTGGTCTTCTAAGAGAAGATATCGCCATTTGAGGGTTAATCGTATTTAAATGTTCTTATACCATTTACTTTTCTGAGAACTTGGGGCTTTGTTTAAAAATGAATTTGAGCTTTATGTGTTCTCTAAATCAGCAACGTCTGAAGACCTCTGTATTAAAAGATGTCACCTCCATTCTAGTGTTAGGGGTCCTCTGTAGTGAGTATTTGTACGTCTGTCAGTTTTGCAGTGCCTAAAATAACTGAATTTATAACTTGATATGAAAAATTTAAATTTTAATATATATGTTTATTTTATATTAAATTGAAAATGCTTTTTATTTCAGAGAACTCTTCCAGTATTGCAAGAATGTGATGTACGTTACACAGATGCCTGGGGGTTTTAACGCACTACAGGGAAAAAAAAAAAAAAAAAAAACAACTCTCTTGTTACTATGAGCTTCGCGCCAAGATTGGAAGGACACATTGTAGGTGCTTTCATGAAGAACATAAAAGTGTTGATTTTAAACTACTGTTGTTATTTCGAGAAACTCAGTGATAACTTATACATATATTCATAAAGAGATACCTATCTTCCTTAATGATTATTTTAAAACTGTTATACTAGATGGCGCCACGAGTCATTGACTCAGCTTCTAGAACTTGGCAACTACTAAGAAAAAAATTCATCATTCTTACGAGAATCGGTTAGAATAGTAGGGAATGAAAAGTTTATGCATTTAATATTTAGAAAAATGGAATTCATTTCAAGACTTTATATTAAGAATTTTTATTCTGTTATATAAGAAACATTCATTAAGCGACTGGAATATCGTTTGCATTTCGTAACAAGTAGAAATTCGTTTTGAAAGCAGATGTGTTTTGTGTTATACCCTACGAAGAACGATTCATATTAATTGAAGAATATTTCAAGGATGTTACTTTCATTTAGGAAAAAAAAATTGCATGAATTTTTATTGTTGGGCTATGTTAGAATCTACAAAATTGTTCTTTTCTATTATGATGTAAGACCTGCATACATGTCTCGTTCCTTTTCCATTTTATGTCATGATTTTGATGTAATATTGCATTGACTGGTATCGAATTTCAATATAACTGCTACGACAGAATAAAATTACATCACGGCACAGACCAAGGAAGTTTCAGCGAATATTAAACGTTATTATAATAATCACGTATCAGGAAGAAAAGATATGTTGAAACGTTGCCACAATGTCAAAATATTTTTTTAAGAAGAAAATTTATGCTTTTTGTTTTAATTACCGTTATTTTATACAATTAAATTGCGTAAAATAATTGATCTATAACGTTAAAAATAAATAGCCTCTTTAGCTTTTTATAATTTCTTTTAACAAATTTCGTAAAATTTACTAGTCACTTTCTAAAATTTCTTTTTATAGGGTTACTTTCAAGATTATAATTTTTATGCGCTTCGAAATTTAATTCAGTTTGGTGCTCCCATTTATAGTAAATGTAAATTTATTTTCAGAGTTAAACTTGTAATTTTGACACTTTGCAGCAAATAATATTCCTAAAAAGAATAAAAAGCTATTGCGAAATAAACGAATCAACATGAAATGAATGAAACTACGAATGAAAACTATTTCGAAAAGAAAATCTGAAAGGTTTCAGATTTTAAACTACGTCCAAAGGGGCGTTTTTCTAACATTTTGTCTGTTATCTTTATTTATTAAATATCACGTACATCGCACTTAAACCGTAAAATTTAGTTCAAGAGCAATATCGCAAAATACTTTTAAATTGCGCATGTCTTTAAAATTTCCGATACACAGTTCCGCGCGCTGGAGATAAAAGTGTTTTTTCTGTACAGCGTTGCCATTGCTCGCTTTGTTAATCAAAAATTTGTTAAAGATTTACAAAATATGAAATCGATGATAAAACAAATTCCAAATTTCAAATTTGGGCTTTCACAGAAGACTGGGCTATAATCAATACGTGTTTTCAGTTGTATTTATTATCAGTACATTTACCTCACATTGAATTCTTAGTCCAATGGGGCTTTGTCCCTGAAGAACTATTGTTTTCGATTTGCGATTTTACGTTGAATCATTATAAATGTCCGTTTCACTTTTCAAATTGTTGCCACGAAATGTTAGAGTCTTGCATTATATTTGAAGAAATTAAATAACGGTTTGGTTTTGGTTTATTAGATTACGGCAAAGCACTCGAGGGCTATCCAATTTTATATAACGTAATCCTCCTACGAATATGGGCATGTGGAAGACCGAATTTGAAATTTGGAATTTGTTTTATTATTGATTTCATATTTTGTAAAATTTTAACGAATTTTTGAGTAACAAACTCAATGATTTAAAAGCGAGCAATGGCAACACTCTACGGCGTGGGGGGGGGAAGCCTTTTTATCTCCAGCGGGCGCGGAACTGTGTATCGGAAATTCGAAAGATATGCTCATTTAAAAATTATTTTGAGATATTGCTACTGAAATGAATTTTATGGTTTAAGTGCAAAGAACATGATATTTAATAAATAAAGGTAACACAGAAAACGTTAAAAAAACGCCCCTTTGGACGTAATTTAAAATCTGAAACCTTTCAGATTTTTTATTTTATTTATTTATTTATTTTTTAATTTCTTTTATTTTTTATTTATTATATTTTTTTCTGCTCGTTGAAAAAGCGGGATCTATTTCATGCTCTTTCGAAAAGCACATAGTTTATTTATAAAACTATCCCCACTATAAAACTGATTTTTACCTAATGTTAGAAATTCCCTGAGGATGCAACGTCCAAATATTAATGTTAATTGGCTATATATATAAAATATACAGTTTTTACTTCTTTTTTTAAGCGACATTATAACTAATTTGAACATGTAGCATTGGTATTTATCTAAAGTAAAGAGCAGCAGTACAGATGAAATTCGAAACTGGTCTTTAGGAAACCTGCAGGTAAAACTTCAATGGCAGCTAAGATGTAATAATTAGAATAGGTATTATATGTTGATATGTTTTGTATTTATTTGTAAGTCTGTTTTAGTCGGACTGTTTTTTATTTTGTTTTCTGCAGTGTTGTGCTGTGCAAAATGAAACAGTGTCATTTTTTAATAAAGCATGTAAATGATTCGAACACATTGTTTCGAGAAGTTTGTTATATTAATTCCTTTCAAATTATTTTCAATTAAATCATCAAATCTCACATTTTGTATAATACTTTTCAATTGTAAGCAGTCTACAGAACATATCTTTCACTCCAGAAATGTGCATTATCGTTACACCATTATCTTTTAAAAACACCTACTATGAATTGAAATACGAAAGTTAACTGTAATTATGTGCTCATTTTAACTTTCATATTGTTAAGTAGTTTATGGTTGGAAGTAAATATCATCAGTCATCACAGAGTTCTCAGTATAGACTTGGTAAAAATCTACTATTTTAAAAATACAACTCTCACCTGTTGCCAACATACATTTGAAACTTTTATTACTGATGTTTTAGGCAACTCTGAAATTCATTAGGAAAGGGAAGATTATTATTAAATACAAAATTTTTGAGCATTGAAATATATTTACTCTGATATTATATTTCGATGTTGTATAGCCATCTAAAAAACTCATACTTTCTAATATCTAAGTTATTTTTACTAGACACGAGAAAACGCAGATTTTTCCTATTTCTAATTCATGTTGAAATTCTATATTCCCATGAATGTGAAATGTATTATGGTTTATGCAGTTTTGTAATTAAATGTTAAGAAATTTTTTATTATTATTATAACAAAGTAAATTTCATAATTTCTCTGGTTTTGTCCTACATGTTTACTACATTTCATCATTTGTTTTGTGTCGTAATTTCGTAGTATGTATGTTTTATTTCAAATATTTTTATATTTTAGCAATTAGTGGTAATTATACTGCTCAGCGGCAAAATTTTTTTTCTTTAAAACTGACAGTATTAACTAACTTTTGGTGAAGATTTTTATACATGAAAAAAGAAAGTGTTATTTATTATGCATTTTCTTCTATTACTTTTCTGATAATTTATCGACTGTATTAACAGTGCCTCTTTAGAAAGGTAGGACAAAACATTTTAATTAGGTTTTTAACTGGCTTAAAGTCTTTAATGTTTTATAGGTAGTAAAAATGAGCATAAATGCAAATATATTCATATAAAGTTATATTTATTTTTAGCACATTCCGTAGATTTTAATCTTACAATATGCATATCTAAATATGTAATATTATATTACTTTGTTATTCTTTAAATTCAGTTGTACATTCGCTGCACAGCATATATATCTAAGCTATTGAAATATGTGTATTTTATCATTTAAGACGTAGTGAATATTTTATATTCGTACTTATTAAAAAAAATATTAATATATTCTTTCAAATGCTTTTTTTAACCGCCCATTTTACGTATCAAAAACTTAATCATGGAGTGGTCTGTTCACAACAGCTTTTAGGGACATTTTATCATTGGATACGAAGCCTTTTTCAGGGTATGCTACTATTGAAAACGTGCACTCGGAATTTCCAAACATTAAACAAAAGCAATGATATGCATTTTTTCTGCAAATATTATTTTATTTATTGATATAACAGTGGATCTTATCGACTTAAAAGTAAACCTTAAATGTCTTAAAAAGGGGGGGGGAACGAATAAGAGTTGCACTTGTAATGGGAAGCCAGGGATTGTTGATTCTGATGGTATTCAAACTGACTTACCATCTAGAACTTTTATGGTCGAAATTTCAAGAACAGCTTCGTAAAAGAAAATTATCAAAAAAGATCCTTAAAAACTTTATTATTTTTGAAATATTTTATTATGTACTTTAGCTGTGGTTTTTTTTAAACTTCTTTATTATTATTATTAATGTTCCATGGAGGGTGTCGTTGAAAATTTTGCTTTAAATCATGGCAAGATGGCCAGTGTACAAAGAGCTTAAGAATTCTTTTCATTAAAGTAGATTACATCTGCATTTTATTTCATTTAGTAATCTGTAATATAATCATAACGGAAGTGTTAAGAATAAACATATCTTTAAAAATGCGAAATTGATTTTACCTAGCATGTTATAATAGATACAACTAGAAGTGGGTGAGACACCAGAACTTCACTATTGGTCATATATACATATTTTATGTAGTACCACTGCACTAATTGTATAGTTCTGCTTCAGTTTTGATAGCAAACTTTTGGAGAACGGATCAAAAGGTCTTTCACTCTTCATCCTCTATTGCCAAACAGCTCGAAAGGACTTTCGACTTTCGATAGTATTTTAAGTGGCCCCAGACCGCACACGCATTATATGTAGTCTTAGAAGCATCCATGCCTTTTTCAAGATTCGACTTTGGTCCCAGCGATACTAAGGCTAGCATTAACCGATATCCTAAAGCCAGCTAGAAAGACATAATG